GCAGCCGCCGGTTGGGACAGGTATTGTAATTCCTCTTTTCAAGACAAGGCAGCTGAGGGTGTGAATTTAGGCAAGTAGCACAGGCGCTCAGCCAGTAAGGAGAAGAGCTGGGCCTCCAGTGCACATGGGTCTGTTGGGGTTGCGAGGGCCAAAGATGGCCCAACAAGGGACCACATTGCTCAGGCACCATGTTCACACCCTTGCTTCGTCCTTTCCCATGCCACGTTGGCTGGTTCTGGGATTTGTGCTAACCAGGAGCAAGCAGTGAAGTAAAACGACGCCAGTCCTGGGTTCACCTTACAGGAGGCTGGCAGCTCCTGCTGCCTCTCTCTTGAAACACTTTTGGGAGGCTTTTGCCATTGTGGAAGGAGTCCAGCTCTCCTGCTGGAGAGATCCCATGGAGACGGTCAAGGCCAGGCCCTGAGACTACATGGAGAGGGAGCGAGGCCCAGACCCAGTCTTCCTAGCCTGCCAGTCAACAGCCAGCTAACTTGCAACCACAAAAGGAACCCCAAGTGATAAAAGCAGAAACCAGTCAGAGCCCGGCAGAGCCCAATCAGCCCACAGAACTGAGCGCAGAGAGGTAAGAACAATGACAGGTGCTTTAACCGCTATGTCTCAGGGTGGTTTGTTTCACGGTAGCGAATGACCAAACCTCTTGTTTAAGGTGAGCTACTTCCTTCTGTGTTCCCATTGCCCTGCTCTCTGATGCACTGGCCAGTTTTCAGTCCACCTGAAGGCAGCAAATGCGTTAGAAAACCTGTCTGTGGAGTACCCACTTTTGCTCTCCTCTCTACCTCTGATCCTCAACCAGAGACTTCAACAAGCGGTAAGCACTGCTGTATGGTGGGGAGGGATATGCACTGACGAGCTGTCGGCCAGAACTGGGTTCCTTCTCATCTCTGAGGTTGTAAAAATAAGGTTGCTAATGACCTCCTTGCAGGGGTGTGTAGGAATTAAATGGCATGCTCCTCATCAGACACCTAACATGCTACTTGGCACGTGTCAGGCATCCAGGGAATGGCGTTGGTTAGAGGCTGAAGAACAGCTCCTACTCCTACAAGGCTCTTGTCCCACTCTTCCCTTATTAGCAAAGACCTAGAAAGCAGAGGTCAGGCTTCCATGGGGCCAGAACAATGCCGGAGCTTCTTGACAGAGAGCAGCTGCTGCTTGTTATCTCTGTTTATGAAAAGGGAGGATGGACAGTCAACATGAAGGCTGTCCCAGGAACCACTGCAGGACCCCTAACCCTTTGGGAAATGTATGTCCTTTGGGATATGAAGACGCTGCCTCCCAACAAAAGGAATAACATGGGAGTGAAGAAGGCAGAACTGAGTTTCAGTAACCACCTCTGTAACTCCAGAGCTTGGCAACTAGTCCGTGTACGTTTGAAGAAGACACAGAATTATTTTCCTGCTTCATTCACTGCTGTATTTCCAGCACATTGTAGGTGCTTAGTAAATACACGTTGAATGAATAAATGAATGTGGGGGTGAATGAATGTTTCACTGCCTGCAGCCAGCACTGCAGGTTGCCTGTCCCAAGCCATCCCCTCCTTGTTCCTTGCTAATGGATTCCCCGTGTGAGTCTGGGGGCAACATGCTGCCTGGGGAAGTCACCTGATGGGTTAAGAAAATCAGGGCACACCTGTTCCTCCTTACTGGGAATTAGTCTAGGGGTGGTCGTGTGATGCCATTTAGCCAGTGAGACTGAGAGAAAAATCTGCTCAGACGGTTCTGGGGAAGGTTTTCCTTGGTATAAAGAGAGGGAGCTGTAAAAAGGAAATGCCTCCTCCCTCCCGCACCTTGTGTCTCTGCTTTCTCATGTTATTATGGAAGGACATGATTCCTGGGTTGAAGGCAATCACTCATAAGCAAAACTGAGCAAGCCCAAGGATGAGAAACCAACCCCCTGAGGATGGCCTGGTAGTGCCTGTTGAGATGGCCCAGATGAGTTTCCAGGCGACCCAGGACCCCCAGTTGACTTGAGGTCTGAGACGAAGACATATCCTCAGAGTTTCTGCAGATATTGTGTTACTTCCAGCCAAAGCACCTTCCCTTAACTCGAATTTTCATGATATCATCATGGGCTGAATTGTGTCTTCCCCTCCCCCACCCCAAGATTCACATGTTGGAGCCCCAGCACCTCGGAGTGTAACTGCATTTAGAGAGAGAGCCTTTAGAGAGGTGATTAAATTAAAATGAGTCCATTAGGGTGGCCCTAATGTACTCTGACGGGTATCCTTATAAGAAGAGGTCATTGGGACACACAACCAGGGAGGCATGTGCCCAAACGACCATGCAACGACACGTGAGAAAAGATGGCCATCTACATACTGCGGGTGGGGGGGAGCGGGGTTGAGACCTCAGAAGCCAGCCGTGCTGATACTTTGATCTTGACTTCCAGCCTCCAGAGGTATAAGGAAGCAGACTTGTGCTATTGAAGCCATCCACTGGTACTTTGTTATGATAGCCCTGGAAAACTAATACAGGTAGCCATTGTTATGATCAATTTATTATCCCCGTTATTAAAAAATCCTGACGTCACCATGTAATTGTCCCCAGGGTGCAGTGGGGGCCTGAATAAAGAAAGCTAGCCTTGGTTTCTCTGTGTTATATAACTGGGCAATGATATCAACCCAAGACTGGCCTTCTTGCGTCCTCCACCCATCAACACACCCACCCATTACTTCATTCCTCAAAAATCTAGCAAACAGCCATCATGTGTCGGCACTGAGTAGAATTGTCACAGAGTGTATACTTTGGAGTCAGGCTGCCCAGCTTGGCTTCCTGATTGTCTCCTAGTCACTGTGTGACCTAAGGCAAGTTGGTTATCTTTCCTGACTTTCTGCATCTCTAGAATCATGCTAAGAATACCCATCTCCTAGGATTGTATAAAGTCGAAGCAAGCTAGCACATGTAGCGTGCTTGCCTTGCAAAGCACTTGACTCAGAGAGGGCACTTGATGTGGCTGGGGGCCATTGCTTTGCTGGATATACAAAACGGACAGGAAAGGAGACACGGTCATGTTTTCCCTTCTGTAATTTCAATATTGTCCTCTCCACAAACCGTGTGGCCTAGGTATTGCCCCCCTGTTTTGCAGAGTAAAGTGAGGTTCAGAGGGGTTGTGACAACAGCCGGGAGATCCAAATAGGTCTTCTGAGCTCTAAGCCTTGAGCTCTTTTTCTCCCCACTGCACCAGAGCTCCTGCCTCTGGTGGTGCATTTTTTTCCCCCTGAGCTCATCGTTTATGCCAGACATTCTCATTTAATCCCCGCAAGGACACAGCTTTCACAACCTAGGAATAATAACGCTGACATGGATACACATGTTTAGACGAGACAGAAGAATAAACTGGCAAGTTATGGGACTGAATGGAAAATGTGGGTCAAAGGGAACTGCCTTCTGGGCGAATGGGGAGGAAAGGGTGTTAATCGGTAGCTGTTTGGGGCCAGGTGCCTTTACTAGACCCTTGATTTACAGTACTTTGGGACTTCGATATCATTACACCCCCATTTTACAGTTAAGGAAATGGAGGCTCAGAGAGGATAAGGCAGACACATAGGAAAGGGAAGAATGCGAATCTAGCATCAACCCAAACACACAGCATCTTCCCTGGACCAGAGCTCCTAGCAGCGGCAGAGAAGCAGAATCACCCAACACGTGGTTAAGACCACCCAGAGCTGGGCACCCCCTTGAAAGGTCTCAGGTCGGGGTGCGTGGAGTGAGGCTCAGCGCGGGACCCAGGAGCACGTGCAGCCGGGTGACCGGAGTGCGTAGCCAGGGCCGGGCGGGCAGCCAGACCAGGCGGCTGTCCAGACTGGGCTCCCAGACCGGAAGGCAGCCTCGGCTCAGACCTGACAGGAGCTGTACTCCGCAGCCACGTGAAGACCTGCGCCACACCCTGTCTTCCTCTACCCGGAGAGGAAACAGCTGCTGCTTTCTTTAAGCAAGAGGAGTAGAGCGGAGTCCATTAATTCATTAGCCAACATTCAAAGCCACTTGAATATGGATTTTAGGCAATGGTATCACACGGAGAGGCACAGATACAGAAGCCTCTGAAATCACAGATTGGCGTCATTCCTCTCTCCTGTTAGACCAGGAAGTCCAACTGACATTTGTTTTTGTTTTGTTTTTGCTTTTGTTTTTTACGATTCTTCATTGTTGTCGAGTAGCGTTTTTGGTTCCCTATATTTATGGTTTAAATGGGTAAACATTTTATGTTTACTTCTCCTAAAAAACCTATAATAAATTAGGTTGCTCTTTGAATATGACTTTTTTTAACTGGTAAAAGGGTTTATTATGAGTTCACTTATATGAAGTTCAAGAACAGACAAAAACCTCATCTTTAGTGAAAGAAATCAGATCGGGGTTTACTCTGGAGGGTGGGGTTTGGAAATTGACCAGAAAGACTCACAAAAGAACTCTCTGGTAATGGAAACACTCTAATATGAATTGGGATGACTGTTGCATGTACATACACATCTCTCTAGTACATCAAGAAGTACAGTTAAGATCCGTGCATTTTACTCTAGGTAAAGTATACGTCAATAAAATCTTGAATATGATATTTTAAGGAGGGGGAGGCTCAGGGACCTTTATTCAAAACAAACAAAAAGCTCTCTCTGCTGAAGAAGTTCCCACCATGTGCAGAAGGAATTCTACCGATTGACACGCTCTTGGCTCCCCTAATCCCAGGCCCTGATAGTTTCTCCTGTTGTTCTGATCATAAATCATCTCCACCTCCTGGGCTTCATTATTTCAGGCTGCATACCTGTGCAGAATGCACCCACCGAATTATCCTGCCAGTTTAAACCCAGCAGAAGAGTAGCTTTTCTTGCTTAAGCCAGATGTGGAACTGGAAAGGGAGTTGAGGTTACAGTAGGAGGGTTAAAGATTAGACAGGACTCATGGCTAGGGAATTGACCTTTGACCACAGATAAATAACAGCAGCCAAAGCACAACCCAAGCCGCCCCCACCCCCCACCCCCCCTCCCCCTTGCCTCCGCTGTGCGAGAAGACATACCAGGCTCTCAGGGCAACAGGAGGGAAGGAGATGTAGAAGGAAGCTGCAGGAGAGCAGGAAGGAAAGAAAAGAAGGAACCAAAGATCGAAGATTGGTTGCCTGGAACACAGCAGAGTGTCTGCACACCGTCAGTATCACCCCTGCTCAGCACCCCATGCCATGGATATAATATTTGGCAGAAATAAGAAGGAGCAGCTGGAACCTGTGAGGGCCAAAGTGACAGGTAAGCATTTAGTGCAGACACAGGCTCTCATATATTTAGACATACACTTTCTTTTCTGTTTATAAAGGTAAAATTTATTGTAAATTATTTTTGGAAAATCTGGAATGCAGTCTATAGCAGGGAATGATCCACAATCCAGACGTATTCTCTGTGAAAATCTAGGTGTGCTTCTAACACACAGAAACCGTTTCCAGGGAGAGGGAGAGTCATTCTCACTACTTGAGGCGAAGAGCCTGGGGATGTTCCGACTGGCATGAAGACAATGGAGTGATTCTGCAGAGCATGGCCCGTTCCAAGTGGGTGGTGCCTTTGTGCAAATCTGTGCGCCCTAAATTACCGTATCAATGGCATGAGAGGCGCACATGGGCTCCCACTTTTGCATGTGCATGCGGGGGTGGGGCACATGCAGAGCGTGTCTTGATGTCCTTGCAGGGGTGATCGGGGCCTTGGAGTACCCGCAGAGTTGTAAGTCAAACAGACCCAGAGTAGGACCCTCCATCAGAACAGTCCTTTATCGGGCTTTGTGTCTCGTTTTCTTCATCTGTTACTTCTCCTGCTCTCTCCCCTTCTGTGCTGCCCCTGAGGATGGCGCGTAGCTGGCTCAGGCACGCAGGTGCTTTCATCCTCAGATACTTGGATCTGGAGGCTTTTCCCAAGTGAGCATTTCTCTGTGAGGAAGTCAGATGGGAGCTTTTCAACCAAGGAATTGCCTTGGAAGGCTTTTGAAAGAATAGCTTTTATGTGTGTTTTTCTCTGATTACAAAGATAACATATGATCTCTATGTGTGTGTGTGTGTTTTGTATATGCACATATATAAAAACTTGGATATGCTAATGGGAGCACAGGGCAATAAAGCCAGCTGTATTTCCATCTCAAGCATTCCTAATACTGGAGTACTTTAAGTTTTTACAAGATAGAGATTGTATAGACGACAAATATTTTTTTCAAAAACACATGTTTATTTACAATTAATATTTTATTTTAAAAAATAGAGCCTCCAATACCTATCCTTTTATGCTCTGGGACACCATGAGCATGCTGCCCGTAAGCCTTATGTTTAATGGCTGCACGGAAATCCTTGGCAATTTTAGAAAGCCGGAATCCTGGAACCTACAGATCTGAGTGGACAGGTGGATCCACATGAGTTGTTCTCCCCACCTCCAACCCATACCTGTAGCCTCCCCATCACCTGGGCGTTTGTTAGAATCACAAATTCCTGGGCCCACTCCAGACCCACGGAATCAGATACACTGGAGGTGGAGCCCAGCAATGTGTGTTTCTACAAGCCCTCTGGTTGTTTCCAAGTGTGAGAACCACTGCTATAAATCATGCCTTCCTCCTTGAGGGAAGCTGAGGGCTGGAGAGGGGCTGTGACTTGCCCAAGGCCAGGTGGCCCACGAAGGACGTGCTCCCAACCCTCAGTCCAGGTCTCCAGTCTGGGGTCAAGTCTAACCATTGGCCGCCTGTTAACTAAAGATTGTCCCACGTTTGCCCATGAAGGCCATGTCCAGGCTTCATGTTGGACAGTGCTTTCTTGGCTCTGAGACCTCCAGTTAATTAAGCATTTCTTGCCTCACTTCCTTCTTGTGTAAAATAGTCTGCCTGTACCTACCACATAGGGTCACTGCAATGACAATATGATTTAATGCACCTGCTCCCCACCCCGCACTGGTGCCTGGTACATAGTGCTCAATACGTGTCCTTCTGTCTGGGGTTTTGTGTTCAGATTCCCCTCTCTCTGCTCTGCCTCACCTGCACCTTTTCCTGCATCTGGGTCTCTGTGAAGAGCCCTGCTATTCAGTTAGTTGCCCAGGGAAAAAGACCTGGGGCCCTCTGCCTCATATTCACTCAAGCTCCCAATCCTACTCATTCCACATCCTCCAGCTCTTTTCTCTGTTGTTTCTCTCCATCCTCGCTCAGCCTTCCTGCCTCCTCTTGGCTCCTCCTCCTGCCACACTCTACACCACAGAGAAAACTTTTAAAACCCCAAATCTGAGCATATTCCATTAATATGAGCTGTCCAGAAGAGGTAGATCTTTAGAAAGTAGATTAGTGGTTGTCAGGAGGACAAGACTTTGTTTTGGGGTGATGGAATGTTCTGGAACTAGATGGTGATGATTGCATAACATTGTGAATATATTAAAAAAAAAACAAACCCTGAATTGTATACTTTTAAATGGTGGAATTTTTTTGTTATGTGAATTTTATCTCAAGAAAAAAATTGCACATGCACAAAAATCTGATCCTCTCATTCCCTATTTTAACTGGCCAAGCTGTGCCATTCTGCTAACCTTCTAATCCACACCGTTGGTGTGGTCTCATTGACTTTTGTCATGCTTCATGCTTAGCTCTCAAGCCTCAATACTTACGCTTCCTCACTCGAAAATTACAGACCAGTCTTGCTAAACAACTGGCACATCTGCTGGTCTTTGAGCTGGTCTTTGATCTCTCCAGTTCGTGTTCCCCCAGTGACAAGAATTCAGATGTAAGTAGTTTAATTTGGGACATGATCCCGAGAAACACTGGGAGGGAAACCAATAAAGGGGGCATTGTCAAGCTACAGACCAGTGAGCCATCAGACCTGAGCCCTCTGGGCATAGTGTATCACATGCCTCATATTGTCCCAACTGGGGGCAAGGAAGTGGTCACATGCGATGTCCAACTCCCCATCCATCACTGGGTGACAGCCACTTATAGGGGCATTAACGCCAAGGTGTTCCAGCTTGCCTAGTGTGTGGGCAGAGCAGCTCCTGCAGTGAAAACAAAGCCCTCAGGCAGAGAGCTGCAGGTGGTGGCAGAAAGTAACCTTCAGGGAGAGGTCAGTGCTAAGAGGACAAGGGTGGGGCACCAACAGTGTCTACTGCGGCAGGCTACCTCTCGAGCAGTGCTATTCAACAGAGATAAATGCAGGCCACATGCATAGTTTTAAATTCTAATAGCCACACTCAAAAAAAAGTAAAAACAAACACAAAAACAAACACAGGTGAAGTTAATTTTAACCATATATTTCATCTAAGGCAACATATCCAAAATATTATAGGCTCAACATGTAATCAATATTTTAAAAATTGCTAATGAGATATTTTATATATTTTTTCATACTTAGCCTTTGAAATTCAGTGTGTATTTTACAGTCTCCAGCACATCTCTGTTCAGACTGGCCAGGTTTCAAGTCCTGGGTAGCCACATGAGGCCCGTGGCTACCATATTGGACAGCACGGTTCTAGAATGTTCTTTTCTCATGCCTTTGCGAGGCCAATAACTACTCCCCCTCAAGACTCAGCCTCCCCACCCTCCTGCTCTCACCCTACCTGGGGGTGAGGTTCTGTTCCACGCAGCCCCCTTGCTGAGCCTGTCACATTGCCTTCCTTTATTGTGGTGTGGTTAGGGTGTCTGTTCATCCATCTGCTCTGTGGGTGGTAAGCAACTTGAGGACAGAGATGACATCAGTTCTTCTCGGTATCCTCAGTGCTGGCACAATCCAGGCATATCCTACCCTTTCTGGAAATGACTGCTGAAGGAATGAGTGGGAGCTATAAGTCATGTTGGGATCGTGACCTCAATTCCTTTCCATGGCCACGTCTCATAGCTTTTTGGTTGAGATGTGAAAACTGGAAACCACTCTTTCTCTTAACAGGCAGGATTCCCACATGGCTGCAGGGCACCCTGCTCCGCAATGGGCCTGGAATGCACACAGTGGGGGAGACCAGATACAACCACTGGTTTGACGGCCTGGCCTTGCTCCACAGCTTCACAATTAAAGACGGTAAGAGTACTGGCTTGGTTTGCTGTTGCTGCTGTAAAGACAACCACAAATTTAGTAGCTCAAAATAGCACTAATTTATTCTTACAATTATGGAATTCAGAAGTCAAAACTGGACTAAACGCAAGGTGTTGGAGGCTTCAGGGAGATAGCGCATTTCCTTGCCTTTTCCAGCTTCTAGAGGCTGCCTGTCTTCCTTGGCTTGTGGCCCCAGCCCTATCTGCAAAGAGCAGCAGAGCCTCTTGCACACCTGCTCTCTCTCCCTCACTCTCTCCACTTCCTTCTCTTCCATAATCACAGTTCCTTCTTGGACCCTCCTGTCTGCCTCTTCTAAGAACACTTGTGATGGCATTGGGCCCACCCAGATAATCCAGGATCACCTTCCTTCTCAAAATCGTTAATATAATCATGTCTGCATCGCCCTATAAGTCAACAGTTCCACAGGTTCCAGGGATTAGGACATGGACATCTTGCAGAGGCCATCCTTGAGCCAACCACAAGCACTAACCTCCCTGGAAAGGGGTCCAAGCTTCTCTTTCAGAGAGTCCAGCCTGCCAAATGATATGCCTTCTCATGAAGGTGGGCGAGAACAGGAGGAGATTACTGGCTTTGGAGTCAGACATGCCTCAGATGAAAACAGGAAGAGCACAGAGCTGAGGAGACTTCTCACCAGGCAAGGGAGAGCCTGTCACTCAAGCAACCAGTTCAGTGGCTCTCCCAGAGGGGAGACTGAAATGACTGAATAAGACAGAATTCTGGGTTCAGGTGACTGGCTCACGAGGTGGACGGTGAACTCGTTGCTGTTGGCCACGGTGCCGGTGTAGGTCACAACACCACACTCTGAGTTCTTAAAGAGGTCTGGGAGGGTCACGTGGGGCAAAGCCTCTCTCTCTGGGTCAAATAAATAAATAAAATAAATATTTTTAAAAATATATTTTATTTATTTATTTGAGAGAGAGAGAGATCACAAGTAGGCAGAGAGGCAGGCAGAGGGGGCGGGAAGCAGGCTCCCCGCTGAGCAGAGAGCCCGATGCGGGGCTCGATCCCAGGACCCTGAGATCATGACCTGAGCCGAAGGCAGAGGCTTAACCCACTGAGCCATCCAGGTGCCCTATAAATAAATAAAATCTTTAAAAAAAACAAACCTCTCAATGGCTCCCCATTCTACTCCACAAGAGTAGAAACATAAAACAAAAATGTTAAGTGCTACCATACATGATTCAAGAGGACAAGCAAGGCTGAGCAGGATTCTCTGATTTACATATAACACAAAGCCAGTATTTCTCAAAAGGCGGTTTGTGTACTGCTTAATCAGAATCCTCTAGGATTAAAGCTGCAAATCCTGACACCCCACCCAGGGCTGAGTGAATCATAATCCTAAAGGACACTGTCAGAGCATCAATGTTTTCTAACACATTTCCTAGATGGCCCCTGAGCACATCCAGGTTTCAGAAAACCTCCACAGTGGACCTCCAGCCTTGCTGCCCTGTCCCACTCAAGACCAAATTCATCAGTGTGCTGTGGAGGTGGGGCTCAGGCTTCTCTGCCAGTGCTTCAAAGCACCAGGTGATAGTGCAGCACGGAGAACCCGAATCAGTGCCAAACCAGTAAGAAAAGACTGGAATAAGAAAGCAGAAAGATCAAAAAATGGTTTGTGGCCTTTAGCAGAAACCAGGGTAAGTGAATACTTTAAAAACCCAATAAAGACTTAACTAAAGGAACAGAGTAGAGGAGAAGCCGGACTGACAAAGGGTGTACAGGAGTGCTCTTTCTTGTAAGTCTAAAGTCATTTCAGTTTGGGTGGGATTTTTTTGTTTTGTTTTGTTTTAAGTAGGCTTCACGCCCAGCGTGGAACCCAGTGCAGGGCTTGAACTCCCCACCCTGAGATCAAGACCTGAGCTGGGATCAAGAAAGAGTCTGACATGTAAACAAATGAGCCACCCAGATGCTCCTAAAATTACTTCAAAACTAAAAATTTTTATAAAGCAGGCAGAGAGATGAATGAACCTAAGTCTCCTTCAGCAGTACAGTCGATAATTTTTTATTTAGAGGCAAGGTTGTTGTCCCACAAGGATTCGAACATGTAAATTCCAAGAGCCAGCATCACCAAAGTTTAGAGACAAAAAGAGCTCTCCAGAACTTAGCCTTTTCTGAAGCTGGCTTTTTCAATTATTCTAGCTCTAAACTAGCCTTTTAGAAGTTTGCTTAAAATGGAGATAGATATAGATACTTATATAAAATCTCCCACTCCCCCAGGAATATCAAACTTTGACCCAGTTCTAGAAGATTCCAGGCAGGAGCACATCTGTTTATTCGTGTCCCTTTAGAAGGAATGTGGCTAATTGGGGCTCAGCAGGGAGCAGGGTTCTGGGGAATGTGTGGTGGCCTTCTTTAATCTCAGCCTCAGAGCTGAGTGTCAGCCTTGAGCAATTCCAGAGACACGTTTTCCTGTGGCCCCTGAGCCCTCTGTGCGTGCTCTGGGACTGGTTGTTTATAAGAAATGGGCCGCCTGCTGACAGCCAGCCTGGGAAGGGTGTTTACACTTCAAGTGAACATAGTTCAGCATTTTAAGCAAACCATGTTTGCCAGTGCCTTGTAGGTGGCGACCCGCAGAGAGAATGACCAGAGAAGGACAGGCTGGCTCAGGGGGAGACCAGGGTGGCCATGAAGTAAGGTCTGTGTAGTCTGTGACCAGAGACCAATGTGTGTGGCCTTACAAACCCTCAGCTGCATCTTCCTGCTTCCAGGATTTTGTTGGACAATTCAAACATGCTATGTGCCCATGGGCCAAACTCCTTATATCATCCCATCTCATTTAAAACTGCCAATCCTATACTGGAGAGGGCTATGTGATCCCTAACATCCAGTTGAGAAAACTGAGGTTCAGTGAGGTAAAGAGATTCACACAGAGTCACATGGCTTGGATTAGGACTAACCCCAGAACCAAAGCCTACCCACTCTACCCAGTGCATCTCAATAGCGTATATAGCTTTTATTGAGCACCTATTATGTGCTGATTTCTTTACGGGCTTGAAGCATCACAGCAGCTCCGTAAGGAACATATCATGATCCTCACCTCATGGCAGAGAGGACCGAGTCTTGACTCTGACACAAGGTCTGGTGCATGGTTGGTAGATGACAGAGCAGAATTCATAACCACCTGGAGACTTGAATCCTCTCAGGGCTAGAGATGTGCCTGCCCTGCTTGCCCCCACTTCCTGGCCCACTGAAGTGATCAGTAGATACCGGCTGAATACACGAACCCAGGGCCGGGATAACCAAAGCCATTCCTCCTGGTTTCTTCTTACAGCCCCAGAACGGGGCCCCCCTCCCGAAATAGCTCGGTGATGGTTATTCTCACAGCAGTCACCCTCGAAAAGACTTTTGAGAAGAGGATAGGTGGCTCTCTGCCCCTGGGCACACAGTTTACCTCCCAAAGGCTAGAGAAAGAACTAGAAGGTCTTTCATGGTCTCTTCCAATTTTATGAAGACCAGCATCGCAGTTATTGCTATTATTTCCATCTAGGTGCACAGGCTAGAGTCCTTACCAATGAAACGGATGCTCGTGTCCTTTGGGTCTGGAAATGAAAATGCAGTTCCAAGGGCAAAACTAGTTAAGGCTATTAGAGGTCAAGATAGCAGCTCTCCAGGACGGGGACTGGACAAGCTATGAGGGGGCCTCCAGGGGGCTCTCATGTTCTGTCTGTAAATGAGGATGTGGTTCATATGGGTCGGTTCTGTTTGGGAAGCTTCAGCAAGCCACGCAGTAATGGTAGCACATTTCCATAGGTGCGTTTTTAATAACCAGGATCGGATGGAGTGGTCAAACTGATGGTGGTGGCTGTGTCAGCTTTGAATCCAGCTTTCCCCTCCCTAGCTGTGTGGCTTAAAGCAAGGTACTTAACCTGTCTTTGCCTCGATTTTACTCACTGGAGATGGGTTGCAGGGCCGTAAGTTGTGTAAGCCCCTTATACTTCATTTGAAGTAGAAATTTGACACCTTCAACTGTTGTTTAAATTTTGTCTTATTTTGCTTTTCATTAGCAAATGACATTGGGTTGATTATTTTTCCCCCTAAAGAACATATTTCTGGTTGGTGTATTTGATAACATTTCTAATATTTTAGAATTTAACCAGAAAGAATACACATAAAGTGTCCACACAGTACTTAGCACACATGTGCACAATAAAATATTAGCTCTTAGCTCTGTTTCCTTTCTTAAATATAAAAAGTCACCAGACAAGAATTTCTTGGGAAGGTGTTCTCTCCTAAGCCCATCATCATGGCAGCGGATACATGATGGAGATTTCTCTTATCAACTTGTTTTATGGGAATGAAATGTCAGTACGACCTGGACACTACTTTTTTGCATATTATAGTTGTCCCAGCATTGGAAGCATATATTATATTACAGCAACCAATGTATTCTAGAGTGGGGAAAAATCAACAAGTCACTTGCTAATTAACAGCAAAATTAAATAAAACTTTAAAAACCCAGAGGTTTCAAATTGTCCACCAAATGGTTTGAAGTCCTCAGATATGCCAAGAGGGCCCCTGCCCCTTAACCTCATCCCATTCCTACTGCTCCCAAGCCCTTGCCTCATGCTGAAGGCCATCTTCCTCAACTCTTGCAGGAGGTGCGGTGCCTTTCCCACCTCCAGGCTTTTGCTTCCACACTTTCAAGGAAGAGTGAATGGAAATGCACTACTCTCTCCTACTTGCCAACTCCCCAATCTATGGTAGGCAAATAGTTTTACTCATCTTCCAAGGTTTATTTCAAGTGCCACCTTCTCCGGGAAGCCTTTCCGGATCCATCCACTTCCAGATGGGCCTCCTCAGCTCTCTCCTCTCTTCTCCCCCTGCTCTAATCTCCTCTCTCTTCCAGAAGGAACCCGTGAATATATTATGTTACTCTGCAAAGTAGAAGAGTCTTTGCAGATGTGGTTAAGTTAAGAACCTTGCGGTGGGGAGATTATCCAGGGGAGCTCAGTGGAATCACAGGGGTCATCACAAGGGATGGGGGGGCGTCAGAAAATACATGACAATAGAATCAGAGGTCAGAGTGATGTGACCACAAACCAAGCAATGCAGGCAACTTCTAGAAGTTAGAAAAGTCAGAAACGGATTCTCTGCTGACACCTTGCTCTTTAGCCCTGTGAGATCCATTCAGGCTATACCTTCCAGAACGCTAAGATAACAAATTGGTGTCTTTTTAAGCCACTAAGTTTGTGGCAATTTGTTACAATAGCCACAGGAACCTAATACTGGACTAGAACCATTCATACATTTTCAGGTTGGTCTTGATGAACTGGTCAAGAGGTCCTACTTTTATGCAGTGAGTTAGATTCTCTCCGTTGTCTGTGTGAATTAGACATCCACACAGGTACTGACCCTCTACCGTACAGGGAATTGGGTGCTAGCTCATCCTCTGGTTGTAGTAGGTATCAAATGTCACTCCAGGGATTGAAATGGCCAGTGGAAGTTTTCCAAGGCTGAACTAGGTCCTGGAGAAACCCAGCCCAAGTATGAGGCCTTCTGGACCCATCCTCCAAATCTGGACCTTCACTAGAGGGAAGATATGATCCATGGTAGAAGAGACCCATGATGGAAGAGATGATGAATGGGCCAGGTCAGCACCTCTTGGCAAGGCAACTGAACATGCCTGAGCCTCAGTCCCCTGCTGTGTAAAATGGAGCTCATCGGGATACTTACCTTGCCATATTGTTGTCTCGAGTGAGGAAATGTGTGTGAGAGCTCACCGCAAATGCTCTTTGTATCCGGTATACACTAAAGGGGACTGTCCTAGTGAATTCACCTTTCCTTCTGTAATACCCCTACAATGCCTGAAATCGACCTTAAAACTCCGTAAAGCTATCAGCCTATGCTGATTCTGCGTCTTCTCTTTCAGGTGAAGTCTATTATAGGAGCAAATACCTAAGAAGTGACACCTACAAAGCCAACATCGAGGCCAACAGGATTGTTGTGTCAGAGTTTGGAACGATGGCCTATCCGGACCCCTGCAAAAATATATTTTCCAAGTAACTGTCCGTTTTGAATCTGGTCATGTTTCTTGATATCCTCAGTGGTAAAAACAACCAGCATCCACTCATCTGATGATCCTCTCTGTAGGGTGCATGACAACGTTTACCTGGCCCAGGCTTTGCCTCTCTATGCCATGCAGTTCTTGATCACTGATAGCAAGAGAAACAAATGGCATCTGACATATTATTAGGTATTTTTCCATATGGCTGATAGGAGAGCAATTTGGAATTATCTCCCAAAATTATAAACGCACCTTCTCTTCGGTATAGAGATAGGCTTGCTTGTGTCTGGAATGGCAGATGTGTAATGTTACCCACAGCTGCATCATTTGTTATAATGAGGAACTGAAAACAACCCAAATGTTCATCAGCAGAAGGATCGTTAAATAAATAAGACTGAAACTGTACAAGAAAATACCAGGCAGGAGCAATAAAAGGCAGGATGGGTAATGAGGTTGCTCCCTATGTGCCGAATGGGCACAGGGCGGAATAAGGTGTAGAAAGCGCATATGATAAGCTATGTTTTGTGTAAAAAAGCAGGAAGAAATCTGGATTTATTTTTGCTTGTATGTGCGTAGAGAAAGTGGGAGGATCTGTGAAGTGGGAAACTAGCAAATGAGAGAAAAAGTTAAGGAAAGTTTTCTAGTTGAATAGGTTTCAGATCATCCGGGCTAGGATGACTATGAATGTATTACAAGCTTGACAATTAAACAGTTGGCCGGGGAATCAGACCCGCTGTCAGAATCTCCTTCCTGATACTCTTTGGATATCGACGAGTTAGGAAATGTGCTAGCAGTATACTGGTCCGGAGATGGAAGATTGCTCCTGCTTTTCTGGACTGACGTCATCTTTCCAGTTCAGGATCCAGTGCTAGGGGATGCAGTGCCAGGATCCTGAACTGACATTTGCAGGCGGGGGAGGAGCCAGGCAGGGAGTGGGCGGGCGGAGACCGCAAAACTACCACCTGTAGGGCGCTTCGCTGCTTCACCATTCGCCAGCAGGGGGAGCACTAACCAACACATGGATCTAGGATCTTCTGATCAAAGTAATGATGAGTTTTTCCTCTCACCGTTTGTTTGCTTTTCTTTAAAGAAAGAAAACTAAACTAATTTCCTGGACAAATTCAGAGTGTCCACTGTGGACTCTCATTCCTTCCAAAAGCAAGGATTAGCTGTTTTGCTAGCCTTAGGGGAGCATTATGGAAGGGTACATACGATTTCTGTGGAACTCATTAAAATACTTCAGAACAGCCTATTAGCTCTTGGTGTCTCTGGTGTGGGAGACCTTTGGGTTTTTGAGAGCTCAGGAGGGTTCAGTTGGCGGCCATCTTGTCCCAGATGACTCACTTCTTAGCTAGTTCAGCATGGTGGTATCTTTAGGCAACCTGATCTCCAAGTCCTCCAGATTCCACAAGTGATCCTTTAGGACTTGGAACTTTTTCCCCCCTTAATTGAAGTATATCATTGTAAGTGATAGGAAAACTAAAACTAAAGCCATCTTGAGCAGAACATTGATTTCCTCTTGATCCGCTTTCCTCCACAGAGCTTTCTCCTACTTGTCCCACACTATCCCCGATTTCACAGACAACTGCCTGATTAACATCATGAAGTGTGGAGAAGACTTCTATGCGACCACAGAGACCAATTACATCAGGAAAATCAACCCACAGACTCTGGAGACCCTGGAGAAGGTACCAGTGAATCTACTATAACCGCATCAGTTCCTGGCTCATGGGAGGGAACCCCTGGGTTGGGACATGTGGGCTGCAGGAACTCATGGGCCAGCCCCTCCTCTACTGCCATTGGATCCTGAGCTTCCCCAGCACAGCACTTAGCACTAGATTCTAAGCTCCCTTGGGGTGGGGGCCATGTCATTTCATCTCTGTGTCTGTGTTTGTTCTGAGGGCTACTAAACCAAAGTGCCACACACTAGGCGGGTTAGAACAACAGAGATTTATTCTTTCATGATTCTGGAGGCTGCAAATCTGAAATTGGGGTGTTCTCAGAGCCATGCTGTCTCTGAAGGCTCCAGGGGACGATGCTGGCTGGCTTCTTCCAGTCTCAGGTGGCTGCCAGGAATCCTCGGTGTTCCTTGGCTTATAGATGCATCACTCCAGTCTCTTCTCGAGATACAAATCATTGGATTAGGGCCACCTCCATCCAGAATGACCTCATTTTGACTTGATTACATCTACAAAGGCCCTGTTTCCAAATATACGTACCAGGAGTTAGGGCTTCAACATATCTTTTTGGAAGACACGATTCAACCCATAACAGTGTCCACCGTCTTGGCACTGAGTGGGATCTTAATAGGAGTTTGAGTGAATGTACTGGATTGCCCGGACTGGAGCAGCCCTACCTTGTATTGACCTGAAGAGGGAGGCCTTAGGCAGAGAGCAAGCGAACAAGCGAACAAAAATAAATGTCCAAGCAGATACCTTTCCTGGGCAGAATCAAGTCAACATTTTCATGAAAATCAATAGACCCACGCATTTTTTCTCTAGCTGGCTAATCAAAGCCTCAGTGTCTTCTCAGTACATTTTAACGATCTGTTAAAGGGAATGCTTTTCTTAGCTGTGAAATTATGTCCAGCACCTTTTAAGCTGGGCGGCATAGGTCCGACTGATGTATGCTTTCCACAAAGCCTCCGAGAGGAAATAGTAGCAGAGAATGAAGCCTTGCCTGACTTTGGGCTAGAGGTCATGCTATTCTGGGGGAGGTGAGGAGAGCAGTTGGTGCCCAGCCCTGCCTACTTCTGTGGTAGTGCCCCGTTGTGGGCTTTGACTGGAGTGTTTTTGTAACTCTCTGTTCTCAGAATAATCCTACAAGAGAGGCCTGGAGATTTACGCCTCTGTGGCACGCAAAGGGGGGAGAATGTAAATGAGGTAACCAGAAAGACACAAAGCAGCAGTTAAGATTAGCTTGAAGGCTGCCCCACTGTGCAGGTCATTGCTCTGTGGTGAGGCATTCTGCCACCGTGCTGAGGACACCCAGCAGGGCCAGGGGGCAGGGCTGCAACGAACGCTACAGAAAACACCCACAGCTCCCAGACTCCCCTGCCCCCTCTATGCTCTCTGCGCTGTAGGAGGCCGCCCATGAGTTTATATCAGGTCACACGGGTAAACATCCTCTTTTAAGGTGAAGTCTGCCTTATTTTCCCATCAGGAGATATGCAAAAGTCGCCATCATCTCTCTGAACCTAGAAGCAGGTGCTTTTCATCACGTTTCACCCTTCCCCCATTTTTAAAACCAGGTGGCTCTCATTTTGCAGGTTGACTATCGCAACTACGTGGCTGTAAATCTGGCAACAGCACATCCTCATTATGATGCAGCCGGAAATGTTCTGAACATGGGCACAGCCATCATGGACAAGGGGAAGACAAGATATGTGGTCTTTAGGATCCCTGCCGCTGTACCAGGTAGGTCATTCTGGGCATATCCTGAAAGACAGATGCCACGGGTGGCTACCTCCAAAGAGTTCTGATTTTCACTGATGACACAAGACTCAGTCTGACACTTTCCCTCATGGGTGATTCAGATGACCATGAACACACCTTTCTTCTCCAGGGGAGAAGAGATGCTGCCAGGCTTTCCTTTTGAAAGAACAAATTCCTTCACTATTCTAACCTGCTTTTCTTTAGGCTCCAGTTCATTGGTTCATTAATTTATCCATTATTCATGCACCACTTACTTATGCACCCATCTGTCTGTCTGTCCATCCATCATCCATCCAACTCTCCATCATCCATCCACCCACCCATCCATCCGTCCATCCATCCGCCCGCCCGCCCATCAGACATCCTTCCTTCCATCCATCATCCTTTCTTCCATCCATTTTTTTTAACTTTTCTAACATGACTGTGTATGCCAAAGCTGTACTGCCCACTTTCCCCCCAGCCCCTAAAGCCAGGTTCCTAGTGTTGTTATGGGAGCTCAGTCCTTCTTCAGACCCTCAGACCTTGCAGACCCCTCACCCCATTCTCTCTGGGCCTTCTGAACCTTCTCCATTTAAGGCCAGGAACCTGGCACAAAGCCCAAGTCGATTGTGATTTCGTGTTCCTGAGAGGAGGAGACTTCTGACCCTTGTTTGTCCAGGACCCTCTTGGGAACCACACCCAGGAGACCAGGCCTCTGAGGGTGGTTGCACAGGGCTCAGGAGATGGGGCAGAATGACAAGGGTACTTGGCTTGACCTGCCAGTTCAGGAAAACTGCCTTCCATCTGGGATCCCTGCTGGTCCCCTCCCTCATAGTCCTGTAGAACCTCCTGAGCTACTTACTAGTCTCTATTGGCAGATGTGAGCCCCTAAGGTCAGAAGGCACAATGAGTAGTCTTGTTAAATGAAACTCCCATGAATTAAGCCGATAAAGGAATAGAGGGTCCCGCCAGACTCCTAGAATGTCAGATCTGGAGATGGCCTAGGCATTTAAGTTTGTCACACCATATTACAAAAGAGGGTAGATGAGGCCCGGGGGGATCAGATGACAGGCCCAAGGTCACACAGTCACACAGCTCACAGGAGCCTCCAGCACCAGGCCAGCAGCCCCACCCCCCGCCCCCGAGCCCCTGCTGCCTCCTGGTGGCTTCCCTGGGATTCACTCCTGTGTCCTGCCTCCTAGGCCAGGGTGCTTTCCATTTCAGTTGGCTTTGTGCTCCATTTGTTTTGTGAAGAAAAGAACCGCCCCACAACCCCACAGCATCCCTCCCACCAGCCATCTGTTTACGGTGTGCACAGGTGGCCACAAGAAAGGTGCGGACGCTTGCAGATAACTCATTATGAACCAGCCCCAGGCCTGGGCGGGGAGGCCTTTTGGCCAGCAATGACTCATCCTGAGGTGGAACAAGAGCAGGAACAAGTACTTTTCGCTCCTTTGCCAAACGAAAGCAGGATGAGCTGCGTGGACTACTTCATGATTTCATTCTGTTCTCTCTCTCTCCACTCTGAGTGCTATTATCTCTAGTAACAGAGGAGGTGGCCGGGCTGAGAGAGCTGTGTCTTCTCGGCTTAACCTTGTGCCTTTGGCCATAGCGACTGACCATATTCTGTTGCACCTCAGTTTCTGACCTGTAAAATGCAGATTATACAGTCTCCTTCCACTGTCACAAGAGGCATAACAGCCCCTTATCACAGTGGGTGCTTAGTCTCACCCCTAGGTGTTTCTGAATGGTCAGCACAAAGAGAAATTCATGGAAACCCTGTGAGGTACATCTCAATTGCTGGTCCTCAGCAAAATACCAAAGTCGAAACCTGGAGAGCCGGCCTATCCCCAGGTGCTTGAGAGAAATGCAGAATCTGACGCCCCAGCCCCACATACTGAATCAGACTCCACACTTTGATCATGATCCCTGGTGATCCATGTGTATGAAGAGGTGTTGTTCCAGAGCAGGGGCTGACAAGCTTTTTCTGGAAAGGGCCCAAGAGCGAGTATCTGGGTCCCTGTTGCTACTCCTCAGCAGAGCCATTGCAGCTCAAGAGCAGGGGCAGCCATGGACCCTGCATAAGGAAGCCCCAGGTTTCTCCAGCCCCTTCCTGTGTTCTGAACAAACCTTGATGCAAAAGCGGGTTTGTTCGGAACACAGGTAGGGGTTGGGCGCCCAGGCTGTCGCGCAGACTCCTGGCCCGGAGGCCTGGCTCTGGGGCTCAGTGTTTTCCAATTGTAGCACCAGGTCTCGCAGGGCAGGGGGGCCTAAGTGGGAACACTCGGAGCCCCTGTGTCAGGCAGGCAGCAGCTCCTTCACTGGTTTACTTGTCTGCTCTCACCCAGAGGTTCTTCTTAGCGACCCGGTCAGTTTGAAAGGCTCAGCGGCAGGTGATGGGGCGTTGTCTGGGGCTGGCCAGGTCCCGCGCTGCTCCTGAGGCTTGCCTTTCTCTAGAGGACAAGAAGGGGACGAACCCCTTGAAGCACACGGAGGTGTTCTGCTCCATCACCTCCCGCTCCCTCCTCTCCCCGAGCTATTACCACAGCTTCGGAGTCACCGAGAACCACATCGTTTTCCTTGAGCAGCCTTTCAAGCTGGATATCCTCAAAATGTCAACTGCGTACATCCGGGGAGTGAACTGGGCCTCCTGCCTGGCCTTCCACAAGGAGGACAAGGTAAGGCCTGGCTGGGACCCCCAGCCACATGAGGACGGCCCGAATGAGGTATCCCAGGAAGCAGACTGACGTGGAGGTTGGCGTGCAGGCGTTTTCCTAGGGTGCGAGGGTGGGAGCTACCATGCAGTCTCCCCAGATTCATCAGCCAACCTTCCAGAGAGTTCTGAAACTGGATGGTCCTGCAGAGTGGTCCCAGGTGGGGGCGAGGGGGCTGGGGCCCCAAGTCACTGAGTCAGTAGAGCAGACTGTCCCTGTCTGAAAAGCGTGTGACCTCAGGCAAGCGGGCTGTCATCAGCCAGGCCCCTGGCACCAGCCCAGCAGCGAAGGGCTACTCCTCAGCCCTGACCCGCGTCTGGGCTCCTTGCAGCTTGCACTGTCCATGGGCAAGGCCTTCTGGTGTCCGGCAGCCCACGGGCAATGTCAGGGACGGGTGCTGGGGATGATTTAGACATCTTAATGATAGAACATTCCACCACATGGTACAACCGAACATCTTCAGGCACACCTGAGTGTTCCAGGTGCGGATGTGTGGGTACGTGCGTGTGCCTGTTGTGTATGTGCACGCCTCTGTAAATGAGTGTGTGTGTGCACACCCACATATGTGTGAATATGACTGAATCTGTGCTTGGATATGTGTGTATGAATATATTTACTTCCTGTTGAAATGAGTAAATTTTTCCTTGTGATAAATATCAAGCAATTCTTAGTGTTCTCTATTCGAATGCTATACAAGAAGAGAAAGTCACCTCTCAGTCCCCTGTCCTCCCCCTTGCTGCCACCAGTCTCCTCTCCAGAGAGAACCACCACTATGCAGCTCTAAGACCTCTCCTTTCTTCTCAGGGAGGAGAGTGAGGTCCCTCCTCTGCCCAGAACATTCTAGTGATTTCCCATCTTCCTAAGAAAAATATCCAAAAACTTCACTGACCAGCCTGCAAATCCTCACAGGCCCACATCCCAACCACTGGCTCCCTGCTCACTCAGCCTCCTCCTGGACTTCCTGTATCTCAAACCAGCCTAACACCTTCCTGCCTCAGGGCCTTTGCATTTTCTGTTCCTTCTACCTGGAATGTTCTTCCCCAGATGGCTTCCTCCCTCAGTTAATCCACGTCCCAGCTAAATCTCCAGATCCCTGAGACCTTTTGTGATAAACCAGTCTCCAACAGACCCTGCCCCAGGCTTCTCCATTCCCTTGCCTGGCTTCATTTTTCTCAGTAGTGCTCACTGTCCTTGGCACATTATCTCATCATTGACTGCTGGCCTCTCCCCCACTGGACTTACAAGCTCCATCAAAGAAGGGCCTTGGTTTTAGTCTGTATTTCCTGGAAAAATGTTCCTGAAAAATTGTCTGATGTGTCCTAGACCCTCCGACTATATTTGTGGAATGAACGCTGGGGCCAGGGGCCAGCAGGGAAGCCAGCTGGAGTTGGGTTTGGTCTTCAGGCCCTGGACATTTCTTGGCCCTCAGAGAATCCCACAGTGAGAAGACCGAGCTCCTTGCTAGCGGCAGGCAGAAAGCCCTGGGAAGAGCTTTTGGAATGCGTTTAGAAGAGAGCTTTCTGGAAAGTCCCTGTGCCCAACCAGAGATTGGGGTCATGGGAAAGAAAAGAGCTAAAATAATTCTATATTCACCTGCCCACCACCCCTACCTTCCACACTGTCAAAGCCTTCCTCCTCTGTAATTCCACTTAATGTTCAGAGCTGGATTCTGGGGAAGGAGAGAAAGAGGCACATGAGCTGGGAGGAGGTGGCCAAAGAACAGCCCGGAGTAGTCCCTCCCTGCCTTTCAGGAGGAGGGTGGTTAGTCCAGAGCTGCCAAAAGAAAGAACCCCACACATACTTCAGATTAGGCAACTGGGGTTGCAGATATGGCTAATTACCACCCAGAGTGATACCGCCTCCTGACACCCAGAGGTGTGAGCAGATACCCATGTGGGCCCCTTAACTAGAACAGGTCTCTCCACACCGCAGCCCCCAGGATAAGGGAGTTTGCCTTGACAACTGCTTTCTGGCAAACCAGGCAGCAGGTGGACACCGGGAGACAGGCCCCAGAAGGGCTGGTGTGATTTTAGGGTTTTAGGGGCCCTGGCTGTGGGTAGACCCAAGGGGGACTAGAGGACTGGCCAGTTTCTCCCCCACATGGCCGTTGCCAGGGACCAAGCTCATCCCAGCCTGGAGTCACAGTGAAGTGAAGGAAGGGAGGGACGGTGTACCCTCAGGGGCTTCCCCCAGACTCTGTCCTCCTGGGGATGCAGAGGCCCCTGCAGCAAAGCTTCCCTCTGCTCCATCTGAAGGAGGTGATCAGGGACTGGCGAGAGCAGAGAACTCTGGGGGAGGGGGATGCTCCAGGGTCCCGTGCTAGTGGACTGTAAGGCTGGGTCTTGTCCTGTACCCACTGCCATTGTGCCATGTCAGCACGGGGAGAGCTGACCCCTGGCTGTGCCTCTGCTTTCAGACTTACATTCACGTCGTCGACCAGAGAACCAGGAAGCCTCTGCCCACCAAGTTTTACACGGACCCCATGGTGGTCTTTCATCACGTCAACGCCTACGAGGAGGACGGCTGCCTTCTGTTTGACGTCATCACCTACGAGGACAGCAGCCTTTATGAGCTCTTCTACTTGGCCAACCTGAACCAGGACTTCGAGGAGAACTGCAGGCCCACCTCCATCCCCACCCTCAGGAGGTTCGCCGTGCCCCTCAGCGTGGACAAGGTAATGGCTCGGAAGGGGACCCCTTTCATTCCCGGGGAGTCGTGAGCCCCACTGGGGAGTGACTTTGGCACTCATTTGATTGACATTGAAATCCAAAATGAGCTGTTCTTGAAGACAAAAACAGGCTTTCATTGTTTTTCCTAAAGTGGTGCATATTCATCATAGAAACCTAAGAAAATACCAATTAGGTAAAAAGGAGACAAATAAACAAAAACCTCATGAACCTATTATGGATATATTTCTATTGCCTCCCACATGTCTCTCTGTTGCTCTCAGTAGATAGACAAACACATACTGACACACATGTTGATGTGTCTGTGTTTATGTGTATATGATACACATGCCTATGGGTACATGTCTCAATAAAGCTGTTAAAAATTCTGTGTAGTAGGACTTCTCTAAAACTTAGAAATGTATATTTATATTTTATATATTGCTTAATTTTAGAGAAGGAAATCACGGAGAATTTTTAACAGCTTCATTGAGAGATAATTTCACACACCATACATTTAAAATGCGCCATACAGCTGCTTTTAGTAACTTCGCAGAGTTGTGCCAGCAACTGGATTTTAAAACCTTTTTATTAGCCTGGGAAGAAACCTTGCACGCCTCCCCCTAGTCCCCTTCCCCACTCCTTCCCGCAGCCCCAGGTGAGCACTCATCCACTTCCTGTCTCAGAGGCCCTGCCTCTTCCAGACACGTCACACACGTGCCAGGTGCTCTCCCTCCACACCGTGTTTCCGAGGCCCGTCTCCGCCACAGCGCACACCAGCCCTTCCTTCCTTTTCATGGTGGAATATGCATGTACTATTTTGTGCACTGCTTTTTTCCACTTATGTGGATATCCAAACATCTCTCCGTGACATTCAGTATTCTTCTACAACATTGTTGGAAACATTTGCATGGCGGTTCCAGACTGGGATTCATCACTATTCACTTACCTAATGCCTGCTGGTGATGAGTCCCCTTCTTGCATTAAAAATGACCACTAGGCCAGACATTATCCTCAATTAGGGTGATGCTACCAAGGCTCCGGGCTTGGTTTCAGAGGCTACAGAGATTCCTGGCTCCAGAACTCACTGACTTCATGACTTAATTAATTTAAATGAAAGCAAATTCAATTCAACTCAATTTTGATGGCTCCTATTTACTGAATGCACTCTATGTGCCAGCTACTTTGCTAAGCATTTTATTTTCCTTGCCTCAGTTACAGATCAAAACAACCTATGGGAGAGGTCCTCACATTAGTCTCATTTTACAGGTAAAGCAACTGAGGCTCAGAGAACTTAAGGAATATGCGCAAGGTCACACAGCCCCCAGGGACAGAGCCATGATTAGCAGAGGTCTGAAGCTCTAGCCAGATACTGTTGCTTGCCAAGAGTTAATTTCTTTGTTAAAAAGAAAGTTCTAGGGACGCCTGGGTGGCTCAGTTGGTTGGACGACTGCCTTCGGCTCAGGTCATGATCCTGGAGTCCCAGGATCGAGTCCCACATCGGGCTCCTGGCTCCGCAGGAGTCTGCTTCTCTCTCTGACCTTCTCCTTGCTCGTGCTCTCTCTCACTGTCTCTCTCTCAAATAAATAAATAAAATCTTTAAAAAAAAAAAAAAAAGAAAGTTCTAGAAGTATGAGGTGTTAAACACATAGTGGCACCTCACTGAGACTCTCTGCTTGACCCAGTCAGAAAGACTGGAAGAGAAATGGAATGAACTTCCTCCCCACGTGGTTCAGGGCTATTGAATGAATGGCCGCCTTCCACGAAGTCATCACCTGGCACTGCCCTCTGTGGCCTGCTCTCTGGACCATACTGCAGTGCCTTGCTTGGTCTCCTGGTTCCAGGAAACAGTGGGGGGTGTCACAGAGCGCACAGGTGGCAAATCCCGAGGCCTGGCCCTGCCTCACACTGACCTCAGCCCAGGGATGAAACAGAGAAAGGAAACGCTCCCTCCCACTGCCCACACACGGAGGGATTTTATAACCTTTTATCATGCTTGAAAAATGATTCGCTTCCTTCGAACCAGGCTAAGAAGTTCAGCATGTATATTTTGAAAAGCTGCCGTGTGAGCCATCTACTGCTTTGAAACAAAGAAGTGTGAGCCCTGGGAAGGGTAGCTCTGGCCACGCTGTTTAATTGCTATTTATTGTCCCTTAAAACATCTTCTTGTTTCACTTTCAAGTTGCCTTCCTGCATATTGAAATCGAAAAGCTGAACAGATGGACATGGCAGACATGTCCAGATCTGGCAGCTCTAATTCTGTCCTATCCAAAGGCTTTTTAGGACAGATGGTGGGAGACGCCACGTTTCTCTGGCACCCATCAGTCCGGGGCCTTTGCAAGTCACTGTCCCTCTGCCTACAACACTGTCCTCTTTGTATCAGGCCTCGCTTCCCGTCTGGGCTTCAGGTTGGACTCAGCTGGGGGCTCTGAGACCACAACTGGGCTGGGCCGTGGGGGGCGGGGAAGGGCGGGGCATGGTCTCAGCCTGCAGGGGCTTCTGATGTGCAGTGAGTCTAGCAAATTCCTGCTCAGCCTTTAGGCGTCAGGATCATCACTCCCTTTAGAGGAGTTTGTAAGTTCTGATAGCACCTGAATTTCCTTGCTGGACATTTGTCCCAGGTAAATGAGCTTGTTCAGTCATCTGCCCTGGGAAAGCTTTGACAAGCTCTTGGGCTTGTCAGCTGTTTATCCCCTAAATCCGTCACAGGGCCTGGCACTCAAGAGGGTTCTCATTAAACTCCTAACTACTATAAACCCATGAACGAATGGTAAGTGGGTGAGAAAGGTGATGGGGGTTCCCTAAAAGGACACGGGTCTCTCTATAGCATTTGGAACATTTCCCAAGTGGAAGTGCTTTCCGCATAGAATGGGCAGTAGTGAAGTATATTTAAAAGTCTGGGACCTCCCAGCTGCCCCAGATTCTCTTGTGTTTGGGCCAGCTGGGGTCAAAGGAAGGTGGGGCCCCTTGGCACTCTAGGCCTGTTGATGCAGGGTGGCACAGGGTTGTCTAAGGTGGGGCCGGGCTGGGAGGGGCGTGGACGTGTACAGACAGTTTGGGTGGCTGCCCTGCCCTCCTCCTGCGGGGCTCGGAGCGTTGCCTCCAGGTGGGTTCATAAGCACTGGCCTTCCCTTCCAACAGCTAGCCATGTGTAAGGGGCCATCATGGGCGGAGGCACTACAGACTTACAACAGGTAGTTTCAACTCCTGGCTCAGTAGATTTGGTTTTTGTCTTGACCCCAAGTTCAAAAACAAAGATCTAGTAATAGAAGAAGCTGCTCATTATATGTCAGGCCCTGTGTTAGATGCCTTTTTTCTTCTTAGACCCCAGCAGGAGGGGGCCCTGCTCTGACCTTGACATTTGGGGGAGGGGCTGCTGATCCAGCCTGTCCTTGGCAGTGTCCCTTCCTCACAGATTGAGGAGTTCAGAGAGCCCAAGAGCTGTGCCCATCCGGAGAGGTACCTTCCCCTGCCTCAACCATGAACCAGCTACTGGGATCCCTAAATTCTCTGCCCAAATAGCCCCAAGACTGCTTCCAGCTCCTGCTTCTCTCTTCCTAAAAGCAGGCTATGCCACTGGTGTACTGGCCTCAGACCCATGAGGTGGCCAGGGTTAGCTATTGGCTTGGTCGTGCTGGCTGGGGAATCTGGGCAGTGAGAAGAAACAGGGCAGGGAACAAAGAACCTGGGCCCAGAGGCTGGCCCTCATTCTGCCACCCTATTCTGGCTCGGAACTACAAGGAGTCCTAGAATTCCAAATTCACACATCCTTCCAGACCAGCACCATGCAAAAGAATCCATTGCAATGATGGAACATTCTCTGTCTAATGCAGTAGCCACTAGCCACATAGGCCAATGAACTGTGGCCAGTGCAGCTGAGGAAGTGGATGTTTAATTGTATAATTTTAAGTTAAATGTAAATAACCGCGTGTGGTCAGTGTTTCCCATATGGGACAGCGCACTTCCACATTATGAAGGTCTCCGTATCAAGATGGGGGAGAGAATGGAGTCTCACTTAACAGTGTGCTCAGTGTATTTAGACATTGGGTTGGTGGGTCTCCACTCTTGTCCTGGGTCCTGCAAATTTTAGGAACTGTTAAATGCTTTGCATGCTTCTCACCTCGTTAGTAGGACACCCCTCTGTGTTGCTTATTACCCCCATGACTACAGATGAGAGACGAATTAAGTTGCCCAACATTGCAGGAACATCTGTGGGGTTAGAGTTGGGATTTGAATGCATGTCGGTCTGGCTCTGAGTTACTGACTATGATGTATCTGGCCCTGGACCAGGTGTTTTCATGACTATTATTTAATTGTAACCATAATCTTCAGGTATCAGTCAAAGCAACCCCACTTATGGTCACCACCCATCAAAAAGTAATGAATTGCCCCCATATTCTGCAAACCAGGAAACGGGCTCAGGGAGGCTTAGGGGCTGAGGTTGGGGAGATGCTGCTCAAGTTCACACAGAAACCCACAGAGTCCGATTTCACGGACCGGGCTTCCAAACCCCAAAGCCAATGTTTTGGGGAATTACCACGATGGCTGTTGCTTCCGGGAGTTCCCTCAAGTTGAGGGATTTCAAAGCAAACTGTAGGATCTTGTTGACATTGGGCTAGAAAGCTCTTCTCAAAGCTGAGCACGTGGCCACCAAAAGCAGCCGAGTCATGTTCATTACCGCTGTGTGGAAAAATTCAGTTTATCCCTCAACCAGTCTGACCAGTTTCAGGCTGGAATTAGAAGATGTCTCTGTAGACGGACTCCCTGCGATGCAAGCCCAGGGCATGCACAACATGCCTGTTGCTGTCAGGTGACTTAGCAAAGCACCAGGCAGCCTCCGCCAGTCTGTACGGGTACGGGTGGCTGCACTCAGAGCTTCTGTTTACAAGACGCCACCGATGTGCTGAGTGCCGGGCGACTTTTTCCACACATTTCATCTCATTTAATTCCTACAACCATCCGGCACAGCACATGTTTTGCACCTTGACAGTGGAAGGAAAGCTTATTGAGTCATGCATTCGCTCATTCATTCAGCGGTTACTTTCCGGTGTGTGCTTTCAGCTCTGTGCCATGCACCGAACAAAATCTGGTCCCAGTCTCAAAGGGGAAGACAACATAAAAGAAGGAAGAAACTCCATACAGGAGATAAGGACAGGACAAATCCCTTGGCAACATTGCAGACGGAGTTGCTGGGGAAGGAGAATTTGCGCAGAGACCTACAGAATGGGAATGGGCCAGCCTCATGGCCTTAGCGCCTGCCTTGCCTACAATGTTCTTGCTTCCAAGCAGAAGAACTGCGAAGCGAAGGGCCCAGACTCTCCTTCCCTCTGTGTGGCTGTGGGCAGGCCTCTTTCCTTCTCTGGGCCTTATTTTCCTCTTCTGTCAACTGAGGGATTGAACTAAACAAATCTCAGAGGGCCCCTGCAGTTCAACTGCTAGGACGCAGCAGATCTGTCCCCCTTCCCAGCAAAAAGCTGATCTCATTCAAATAGGTTTCTTTTCATTATAAAATTCCATTTAGAAAAATTTGGAAAGTAGAGAAAAATTTACGTGAGAAGAAGTCAGCCATAACAGTAATTCTCAACCTGTAAACTCCATGAAGGCAGGGACTCAATCTTACTTCTCCTTCATTGCCTAACCTGCACTTGCCCCAGTGGTCGTAACATCATTATCATCATCATCATCAAAATGATGTAGGGGTGAGTGGGTGGCTCAGTCGGTTAAGCATCTGACTCTTGGTTTTGGCTCAGGTCCTGATCTCAGGGTTGTGAGATCTGAGCCCTTTGCTGGGCTCCTCGCTGAGTATGGAGTCTCCTCGAGATTCTCTCCATGTCCCTCTGCCCCTCCCACTCCCATGCTCATGCTCTCTCTCTCCGTAAAATAAATCCTAAAAACAGCAACAACAACAGTAACGTTATCAGCTGCTGCTAACATTTATTTAGCACTGACTGTTAAGGAGACCCTCTTGCAAACTGTCTGCATGATTATTTAATCTGCACAACAACTTGGAGATGTGTGTACTCTTTGCATGATGCATCCACTGAAACTTATTATACAAATGAGGACACAGAACTCTCCAGAGATACTAAGTCATTTGCTCGAGGCCCCATAGCTGGTATGTAGGGAAACAGGAAGTAGTAGAACCCCAGTAAATATCTAATCAATTGTTTTAAATCCCTCTCCTGGGTTACTGTGATGATGGTAAGACACCGAACAAAGTCTGATTAGAAGCTGAAACCAAGGAATGCCCTCCACAGATCCTTCACTCCCAAGCCATTCTTAGTGCCTATTTGTTTTCATTTCAGCAGTGGTATATTTTCACAGGAGAAAATTCTAAAAATACAGATAAGCATAGAAAAATAAAGTCCCCATAATTCCACTGCCTGCTGTCTTATTAATAATTGGTGTCTCCCCCAGGATCTTTTCAGTGTAAGTTCTTTTTAAGTTGATTGAGCTCAGACTGCATATGCAATTTACTCTACTGCTTTTCTCGGTATTCTACCATGAGCATTTCCCATGTTATTATGAACGCTTTATAAACATCCTTCTGATGACCGATGCAGCCAGCCTTCCCTGCAGGAAGGGAATCAGCCAGTATTTAAAAAGAACCTGGGGCGCCTGGGTGGCTCAGTGGGTTAAAGCCTCTGCCTTCGGCTCAGCTCAAGATCCCAGGGTCCTGGGATCGAGTCCCACATCGGGCTCCCTGCTCAGCAGAGAGCCTGATTCTCCCCCTCCCACTCTCCCTGCTTGTGTTCCCTCTCTCGCTGTGTCTGTCAAATAAATAAATTAAAAAAAAAAAAAAAAAAAAAGCAAGAACCTACCAATACATTAATTTCACCTGTGAAAGATAAGAGAGCCCGGAGTCGGAGAAAAGGGCCATGAGTCTAGGGACCCCTTCCTACCAGTAGGTAGCTATCAGTTTACGAGATCTCAGAGAGTAAGAATAAAAACACCAGCAATGTGATAGCTGCTTCCTGTGGCTCCTGTGAGGCCAGAACAAGATGACATCCACTAAAGCACTTGTTTTATGACGTACCCAGTAAAACAAGTGTTTGCTCTGGATAACCCGTTTCCAATTTTTTTTTTTAAAACTCAGAATGCAGAAGTGGGCTCAAATTTAATCAAACTGACATCTACAACAGCAAAAGCCCTGAAGGAAAAAGATGACCAAGTCTACTGCCAGCCAGAGTTGCTCTATGAAGGTAAAACACATCCTCTTTACAAGACACCTAGGGAGGGGGCAGGCTTTTGTGAATTCCCGTGAGACCTCTCTCTACCTCCTTCTGATGCAGAGGAGCTGTGCCCGGACAAGGGACAAACAGGAAGACTCTTGGGGTGCCCAGCAGAAAGCAATGGGCGACAGTTCTCTTTCAAATATCTTCAAACAGCTCCTAGGAAGGCACTGGGGCGGGGGGTGGTTGTTGGATCAGGTGATTTTCACGGCTGGTCTCTGCAAACGTTCTGATTTATTGAATGCTGACTTACTGAACAGGGACGGTGTGTCTGCACTTCCATTTCTATACCTTCAAAACACCCTGCAGAACAGGGGCCATCAGCCCCATTCAGTGGAGGAGGAGATGGCTCAGAAAGGCTATGCTCCACACAGAGTGTAAACCCCTCCAATAGGAGTTGCACCCATGAGAGCAGGCTTCTCAACCTGGGCACCCCTGATGTTCGGGGCTGGGTCATGCTCTGTGCTGGGGGCCATCCTGGGCACTGTAGGATACTGAGCAGCATCCCTGGCCTTGACTGTAAGCACCCACACCCTGAATTAGAACAACCAAAAACATGTCCAGACATTGCTGGTGTCCAGTGGGGGCACCATTACCCTGATGGAGAACCACTGCCCTAGAATATAAGCCTCAGTGTATCCCCAGATGTGACAAAAGTGTGGCTTAGCAGCGTCTCTGCTCAGCACAGGTGTGGAATGAATGGACTTGTCCAGGACACTCGCTAGAGGGAGGCTGGCATGGCTCGGCTTTGCTCCCATGGTGGCTGCTGCCAGGTTCATGCATCTGGACAGAAACTGTCCTAGGACTTTGTTAGACCAACCGCAGATTTGCCCATAAGAACCACTGCTATAAAACAGCATTCTAGGATCCTATAACCGGTTCTGTGTGGCACCCCAGGCACTGGGAGGATTTGGAAGTGAATATGTAGGTCTTGGTCCTACTTTTTTTTTTTTTTTCCCCTAAAAATTTTACTTATTTATTTGGCAGAGAGAGAGAGAGCACCAGCAGGTGGAGTGGGAGGCAGAGGGAGAGGGAGAAGCAGGGTCCCAGCCAAGCAGAGAGCCCCACATGGGGCTTGATCCTAGGATGCTGGGATTACGACCTGAGCTTAAGGCAGACACTTAACTGATTGAGCACCCAGCTGCCCCCTGGTCCTGGTTCTTAAGGCTGGCTGCCTTAAGACGATGACTTGCATCTCCACTCACTTGCCACATGGTAGGGGCAGATGAAGGGTTAAAATGCTGTGGTCTTTTTTATATCCAAGAAGAGAATTCTTGCTTATTGTGGCAATCTTGGGCAATGCTGAAAAGTACGGCAACAGGTGGATCCCTCATAATCCCTCCACCCGTGGCAACACTTTGGAAATACCTGTTGTGTTTCTGTCATGTCTGGGTTGCTTGGCGTATGTCAGGTCCTCTTCTAGAACTTTCCAGACCTCACCCTGCCAGTCTCACCCCATTATCCTTGACATTAGATGAGTTTGCACACATAGTGTGCTTTACCAAGGGCCTGGCGCATAGTCAGAGTCCAGCACAAGGTAGAAGTTATCAGAACAACTCTGGGAGGTAGGTGTTGGCACGTGTCATTCTCGTTTTAGAGCTGAGGACAGCAAAACTGAGGATAATTCCATAACTTGCCCAAAGATAGGCAGCAGAGCCAAGACCTGAACCTAGGTCTCTTGGACTCAAAAACCCTTAACCTCTGCACTTACAGTTTTACAAAATGCAGACATACTGTACCATCTAGAATATTCTGAAATGGCTTCTTCCACTGAATGAATATAGCCTGAGAATTTCCCAGATCCTGAAGATTCTTCAAGAGCATGGTTTCAACAGCCTCACAGAATTCACGGGGATAAAGCCCGTTTTACTTAACCAAGTACCTGAGGCTGATCATTGACAGGGTGGAGGTAAGGGGGGTGGCAGTCCCCAGACCAGGTTTGAGGTCCAGGAGCACCATGGAAAGTCTCAGAGGTACTCTGGGGCCAACTGTGGGCACCTTTTTCTGGTTTCAGTATGTGGGTGGTCCCTTCAGCTCACAGTCACTGTGACCTGTCTCTTGAAATTTTCATGATTACTTGTCTGAGGGCCTGGACATCTCCGCGCCTTAACAGGCCATTCCCCTGCACTCCCCACAAGCCTGATAACCTCTTATGCCTCCTTTTTAGGAGGCCTCTGTGTGGCAGATTTTCCACATCTTCTTCCTCTTTTCTTGGACATTACATTTTCACCAGCAGTGAGCTCCGACGGGGGATTTTCATTTCAGCCCTCAGACTTAGAAATTTAATTTGCCCCCACAGGCGCATACACACATACACACACACACACACACACACACACAATTTTTAGGTTTTTTTTATTACAAAAGTAATAGACATAACGAAAATTTCATGTAATGAGAAACCTAGAGTGTACAATATAAAATACAAACTATAAGGAAGTTATTACCCCAGTAATGCTTCTGAACCCTTTCTCTACATTTGCAACATAGTGGAGATAATACTAGAACCAGCCTTCTACAGTTTGTCTTATGATATTGGCACTTTCCCATGTTATTAAAATTCTTTGCAAACATTAGTTTTACTTAGGTGACTATGTGAATTCGCCAGATTTATTTAACTATTCCTGATGGACACCCCTTTCCATGGCTTCAGAGTTTTTTTCCACACCCCCACACATGTACACGCATACACGAGCACTTTTTTTTTTAAGAGCTTTAAAAAAATTGCAGTAGCCTCTGATTCTAATCATGCAATTCTTTTTGATTTCTATCTTGGATAATTAAAGATGCTTATACACTTAAAAAACAAGGTCTATCTTTCCTTGCTTCTGAACCTTCTCATAGAGCCAGGGTAATTATCAGAGGTTCCCTCCCCCTGCACTGTTACCAACCTTGATCTAATCCAGGCCCTGAAGCAAGTTCAGCGATCCTGGATTGGGAGCTGTTTTTGTGGACAGGACGCCGAGTCTGGCATGAAGGGTGGAGGCTCCCAGTCCTCAGCGATGGGGGCTTCACTGGCTGTGTCATTCTCTCCAGGCTTAGAGCTGCCTCGGATCAATTATGCTCGAAATGGGAAGCGATATCGCTACGTCTTTGCTGCCGAAGTTCAGTGGAGTCCCATCCCAACCAAGGTACTGATCCCTATGTGACTTGGGCTGGCGCGCCCTACGACGATTGTGTCTGCCTGCAAAGCTAAACTCTAGGTTCTCAGACTGGGTGACCTTGATCAGAAAAAGGAGGTCCCTTTGGGGCAGAGGGCAGATCAGAGAGTGAAGTCCGTTTGGGCGGAATACCATGGAAGCGGTGATGGGCCATCCAAGAGAGGCAGCCCTATCTGATGGACAAAGAGATCTCAGCAAAGAGGTCAGAGCTGTAGGTCATCCATTGATTTCTTTATTCAATACATGTTTATTGAGCACCAATTATGCGACAGCATGGTGGCAGTAAGGATAAGGAGGTGAACAGGGCGATCCCAGTCCCTGCCCCCAAGGAACCTGCCCTTTCAAGCAGAGGGCTGAAACTTAGACCCTTTAGTTATTTTTACTTGTTACTATTTGTTGAACACTTACTGTACCCCAAGGACTATGTTAAGTGTACAGACATCACTTGTCTTTAATATCATTTTTAATAATAAATGGAATGTCTTTTCTAAAAAATGCAAGCGTTGCAGAAATGTGCAAAGCAAAAAAATTAGGGTTCACACACACACTCCCCACTAATCCCACACCCCAAGGGGAAACACGTCTATTAGGGATTAAGGGAAGTCCAGGGACTTGCACTTTTTAAAACAACAAAAGGATCGTATTACACTTTAAATGTTTGCATTGAAGACATTCATTTATTCAACACATACAAAAATGGCAGTGTAGTGCCAAATACCAGATACATTCAGGCTTTTGTTTGTTTGAACAACCATTTTTATTCCATAAGATTCAAAACATTTTATAAAAGAGTACGTGAAAGGTCTTTTTAATGAGTGTTTCTTAGGATATTTAAAGACAAGAAGTCATCCCTAAAAGTCTGAATCATCCAAGAATGCTGGGTGACTCAGTCAGGATTTTTATTTTTTAAAAATTCAGTATGTAAAAAATTTTATTTTTAAAAAATTGGATGACAGGAGGGCCTTTGCTTTAAAATGCAAGAGGAAGCTTGCTGCTTTCATTTCTGATGCTACACTGACCCTAGGTAGATGGCATATGGAGTCCACACTGGAGGGGCTGGATCCCCTCTGTCTGTGGGCACTGATGTCACCAGTTCCCAGGGAATGAACATGCTCTCCAACAAGTCACTCCCATGTCTCTCCTCTTTGGATCTACAGATACTGAAATACGACGTTCTCACAAAGTCATCCTTAAAATGGGGAGAGGAGCATTGCTGGCCAGCAGAACCCCTTTTTGTCCCCACACCGGGTGCCCAGGACGAGGATGATGGTAAGACTCCAGGAAGGGGAGCCCACTTGCCGCAGTCTGCTTGTGATCACTCCTCAAACAGAGACATCGTCTGGGAGCAGTGTGACCCTCCCTCTCCAGCCCCCGTGTCACAGAGCTGGTGGAAACAGGCTTTGAAACCCAGGTCTGTCGGAGTTCAAAGCAGTGAGTTTAAGGAGTCCCTCAAAGCGCCCTCACTTCTGACACCAACTGTAAGTTGAGGGGTCTCTAAGACCACCCTCAATGTCGATAGAAGGACGCATAGAACACACTGAAAACTGCTCTGTTCATGGTTACCGTTTGTCATAGTGAAAGGACTGCAGGTTGAAAGAAAAGTTACCCATGGGACAGAATCCAGGAGAATTCCATTCATGGAGTATCTGGTTGTCCCTGTCTTCCTACTGGACCCCCATGGCATGGCACGCCAGGCGGCAGACCCCACGGTCCTGTCATCTCTGAGGTGGGAGGTTGTTGGCAGCACCTCCTGCTGAAGCTGGCCTCCCACTGGGCCGGCCCAGGGCTTCCCTCCATTCTCTTGTGGGCAGGGAGTAGCAGTGTCTTCATTTCCCCAAAGCAGAGGCTGAGGGGATGCAACTTCCCTAAGGCCACATACCCAGTGCCTACAGAATTAGGATTTTAATCCAAGCCCATCTGACTTCAACTAGGCTCAACCACCCTGAGACCCAGGAGGCTTTGGGAGGAATCACGAGTAGTTGCTGGAAGTTTAGGGGCATTATGTCATTTAATCCTCTGTCCCTTGAGAGCGAGTACTTGGAATATGTCCATTTTACGGAGGGAAAGGCTGAGGCTGCTAGCGTGCTGCATGTGCATACAGTGCGCTGGGCTCATTCAAATGTCGTTGAGTGCGGCTCGTCTGAGTTTAGCCAAGTGTCATATGTTAGCCCAATGCAGCACAAAACTGATTCTCCATAATGAGACTTTCTAAGTCACAGGCAAATAGCCATCCTCCAATGCAGGCAGTACTTCACAGAACGCGCTCATTACTCACCATGCAAGAGGTTCTCTCAGCAACCGGGGAGGGCAGGGAGGATTCGCCTTACTCTGCAGATGAATGGACTAAGGTTCAAAGAGGTAAAGGGACTGGCCCCGGCAGGGCTGGAACCAGGTCTTCTGATTCCTACTTCCCTGGCCAGGGAGATACAGCTGAGGAACTTGCCCCTCCAGCTGGAGGAGATTTAAGTCCGCATTTTTACCAAGTGTCTCTTTTTGTTTCCCCAAAGGGATTATCCTATCAGCCATCGTCTCTACCGATCCCCAAAAGCTGCCTTTTCTGCTTATTCTGGATGCCAAAAGTTTTACAGAATTGGCTCGTGCATCCATCGATGTAGAGATGCATCTGGACCTCCATGGGTTATTCATCCCGGACACAGACTGGGACTCGAGGAAGCCGGCCCTTTCCCAGGAAGAGCGGGACAGGGCTCCAGACAGCTAGGCCTGACTGGGGTGGGGCCTGGACCCTGGGCCCTGGCAGAAGGGCTCCACCGGCAGGCTCCTGCAGGACTGCGGGCTGGCTTCCTCTCCGGGGGAAGGGAGGTCCTTCATTTCGTTTGCACTTCTTCTTTCTGTGGTTGCTTTGAGACAAAGGTGTGGAAATAGTGCTTGTTAGTATCTTTTCTTTCCACTTATTTTGGCCATAAAGACCTTGTTTGAAAGTGGATAAATATTTATTGATTAGCTCAAGCCCTTCTGAGAAAGCCTTTTCATTATGACGACGACAGTGACCAGAAACTGTACTAAGTCACATAGTCACCCTTCTTAGAGTGAGCAACTGCTGACATCTCAGAGGAGAGAGAAGTAAACATTCATCACTGCTCCTTCCTGCCACCCCTTCTCGCCCTCCTTCCAGTAGACTAGCTTGTGGGTCTAGGAGCTGTAGCTTTCTCCACCGTGACTTTAGTAAATTATGTGGCCAGGAAGGCATATTGCTTTGGGGTCATTCCACGCAAGGCATGGCATAATTTAAAATAATAAAAACTTTAAAGTCTGTTCCAACCTTATTTAATTTTTCCATGGCTTCTTTCTTCTGAAGTTCTTCTAAGGCAATAAAATAGAGGAGCTGGACAGTTTGTAGCCCGCTAGACGCCCCACTGTACACCCGCTGGGACGGCAGACCGGTGTGGGCATCCCCTCTGCAGGACAAGGGTGAGGGGCTGGACACTCACCCAACTTGCCATGGCCGGGGGCTAGAATCCAGGATTGAGGCCCAGGCCTGGGCTGGCATGAGGAGTTCTTGCCTAAGGCTGAGAACGAGGGCAGTGAGCCATCCCACTGTCTGTATGGGAAAGGCGGTTCCCCAAGCTGAATGCGCTGCCAGGATGGGCTAGGTGTCTGCACAGAGGTGGCGGTAGCGACGGTGGAAGCCGGGAACAAGCCCAGAAGCATCCCAAGTGAGCACCGGGAGCTCCACGGATAGTCGAGTCTCACCTTTGTGGTCTAGTGGGTGCCTGGTTTAGACACCCAAACGCAGGCTGCATAATTCCAACATGCCCATGTCATAGGGTTGGGGGAGCTGGGAGCCCACCCTTATTCTGCACCTGCCTCCTGCCGTAAGTCTGAATTTCATTCGGTCACCGGTGTGGATTCAGTGACATGTTTTGAGGGCAGGAAGGAATCTCCGGCGACACTGCATGGAGTAGCCCAGAGGGGGCAGCCCTCTCAAGGGTAGTCTTAGCTTTTGCCCTCTGGCCACCGTGAAGCCATACTTAGCTCGACTCACATGCAGGCTCCATCTGGTCTGGGGGTTGGGTTTTGTTTTGGGGGGGGGGGTTGGACATTTTTATTGGCCTAATTGTAGATTCATGTGCAGTTCTAAGAAACAATACAAAAGAGATCCTGCAAGGACTTTACCAGGTTTGCCCTGGAAAATGCTGCAGCATTATAGTACAGCAGGACGACCCGGACACTGATTCAGTCCACAGATCTTTTCAGATCTCTCATTCAGATCTCTCATCTGGTACTCATTGCTATGTGTATTTAGCTCTGTGCAATTTTATCAAAGCTGTTATATAAATGGAATCACCTTTGAGGATTGACCTTTCCCAGCAGAACTGCTTGGAGATTCATCCATGCTCTGTGTTGGGTGGTTTTGTTCACTTCTGTATCCTCCGCACCTAGAACACTGCCTGCTGCACATTTATCCTCACGATAAATATTTGTTGAGTGAATGCCTGAGTGGATTCCTTCAACAAACTGGTTGTTGGTTGATAGTGTACCAACAAGAAATGGCTATTTTCCTAATGATCTCCTGGGACGACAAGGAAGACGATTCACAGGGAACCCAATGACAGCAGCCAAGACACCCCGTGCAGGTTCCTCTCCCTGCCATCCCTGATCCCTCTTCTCTCCCTTTCCCTGTCAGTTCCTCAAACCCCCTCTCCTGTCCCAGCATTTCCATTTCACCCTTGGCTTCTACAGCACATTAAACAAAAACCTGACCCCTGGAAATGGCAGAAGGAAGACCATCTCTGCTTCCTTTGGGGATCCCAGCACCTCCAGCCTTCATGAGATCTACTGGGAGGAAATGCCAGCTATGGTGGTCTAAGAAAAATGTGACTGAGGTCTGCATTCACAGAGCAGGAGGGGAAAAGAGGAGACAGATGTGACACTCACCTACTTATTATTCTTCAGATATTTGAGAAGAGGGTGGAACTAAGAAGTGCTTCCCCCACCCCCATTCTCTTCAATTCTGATTGCCAAACAGATCCAGACCTACTCACGAAAAAGGGTGCAGTTCTGCGCGGAAGAAAAATATGTCCGTGGTTTGTTTGCCTCGTTTGAGATGACAGGTGAGATACCAGACTGATGAGGAAGGCTGGCACACCAAATCTTTTTTTCTCAGTTTCAAAAACACCAAAGGTCGATGACAGGATGCCCAATTTATCTAGATCCTTAACGCCATCCTGTTTCATTACACACAGGCCAGGGTAATTAGCTCAAAAGGCCACAGGAGCTAAGACGCATGCGCTTTCTCAGGCACCTCAGGACAGCATGTCTTCCCCCTCCGAGCCTTCCTTGTTATGCTTCGTGTGGGTGTAATACGTGACCAGGAAGTTCTACAGGAACAATCAATCACTCACATTTGTTTATTGCTTTGATAAAGCCACAGCATTTCACAAGTGCTCTGAGAAGTGTCAGGTACTCGGTGAGCCCTCAAATGTTTGCTGACCCACTAACTTGTTCCTCCAAAGGTTTTTCTAATTCGATTCCAGTTCAGGAATAAGCCGGATGTGTACTTGGACAGATCAACTCACGAAACATCTAAGTGCTTTCCAGCTACATCCGCGTTACTGGTTCACAACACTTCCTCCCAAAGTTACGGAGCATCAGGCTGACTCCATTAAGAAGGTTGCTGGTCCAGGCTAAGAACAAACACCTTTGATCACTTCTTAAGTTGTTTAAAGACTGTTTGGGTGGCTTTTAAATGGCCAAGAGAAGTCTTTGCCATGGCGAATCAGGACACGCAGACAGAAGAGTCATTACCAGCTTCCTCAACAACAGGAATGAGACCTGTGGCCTCTACAGCTCAACTTCCTTCTAGGTGTTTGGCCTGGCCACCAGGTGCAGACACACAAACACAAACACACACATACACACACGCAGCCAGCGGCAAAAGCTGCTGGGTCACGTCAGGAAACAGTCCCTTGAGGTCACGCCCCAGCAGAGAGGCTGGGGATGTTCGTGGACCAGGTGAGCAAAGAGAGCTGTGGAAGCGCTGTGCTGGGCAGGGCAGGGACGAGCCAGCCTTCTTCCCTCCTGGTGATCAGGGAAGGCTTCCCAGAAGAGCGTGCCTTCAGGAGCTGCCTGAGTGTGTGGAGGGAGCACCTGGCAAAGTGCTGGTCCTTACAGGCTGATAGTGTAGCTCAGGAAAAGGATTTGGGGACGGTTGTGGGTTGACTGAACGAAGCAGGTGGAGAGTGATTTCCCCGAGAAAGAGCAGTCGAAAGAGTGTGAGAATTCGGCAAATTTTGCGCGCGCACGTGTGTGTGTGTGTGTGTATGTGTCTGAGTCTGATTATAAAAATCATATATGTTCATCGTAGAGCACCTGGTTACATTAAAAAAGAAATGAGAAAGACACCCATAGTCCCACTATCAAGAGAAAACCCCTGAAATCATTCTAGTGTGGTTTTTCTTCAGTATTTAAAATGTTTTTGTGCACAGCGTATATAGTAGCAATTGGTTTATAACCTAGCCACCAGTTTATAACCTGTTTCTTTCACAGAACATATAATGCAGGTATTTTCTCAAAGTACTAAATTCTTCTAAAGGGAGCATGTTACTTCTTTGGGACATGACATGATGTACACTATCCTACTGCTGGACATTTAGGTTGTTTCCAATTTTTTACTATTATAGGTAATGCCAGATCAGTAACTGCACACATATTTCTAGAGCTCATCCCTCCCCCCAGCTCTGTATTCAAGGAGTTATTATTGCGATTTTCTTTGGCTAGATTCCCAACTTGGTTTTTCTGAGCCAAAGAGAAGAAAAACAAGGTTTTGGGTATTCTTTGAAAGGCCTAGGGTTTTGGTTTGATTCAAAGGAAACTGAGAAACCATTAGAAAATCCAAGAGGCCCACATGGTCAAAGTGGTTGGAGGCAATAGAAAAAAGAGGGGGTACATGGTAATACGACTTTCATCCAAATCCTCCCTCCCTCTTCTTCCCCTATTCCACCTCCTCCATATATTTCCATTCTGGGAAGATACTTGCTCTTTTCCAGGAATATATTCTCCTCACTCACTCATTCATCCATTCAGTGATAACCAAAACTGTGTTGGCATTTAATGGGGAGCACAACCAGCACCTCAGCTGTCCTCGGGGAACGGAGGGCGCCATGAAGGACACAGCACCAGGAAAACAGACCAATGCCATTCAGTGGAATGCTGGTGAGAAAAGGGAACATCCCAGGGGACACCCAATGCTGCCTTGAAAACCAGGGCTGGCTGATCAGGGAAGGACGGCAGCAGGGAACTAGGGGAAATGGGTGATTCCAGGGCTGAGGCCTGGAATCAGGGGAGAAGTTAGTAAATTTAGAAAACCTGAACTGGGGGAAGAAGCTGGACAGAAAAGGCAAGTTTTAGCCTGATCCCCAATTTATCTGTAGTCCTGTAAGAAATGGGATTGGCACTCGCTCAAAAGAAATCTCCAGTGGCCTCTTCAAGGACAATCAAGGACTAATAGTCATTCTTTTTATTCTATTTTTTTTAAAGATTTTATTTATTTATTTGACAGAGAGATCACAAGTAGGCAGAGCAGCAGGCAAAGAGAGAGGGGGAAGCAGGCTCCCCGCTGAGCAGAGAGCCCGACATGGGACTCGAACCCAGGGTCCTGGAATCATGACCTGAGCCAAAGGCAGAGGCTTTAACCCACTGAGCCACCCAGGCGCCCCTCTTTTTATTCTATTTTTAAAGATTTCATTTATTTATTTAGAAAGAAGTGGGGAGGATCAGAGGGATCGGGAGAGTGACTCCCCAGCAGACTCCACCCTCCTCCGCACAGAGCCCGATGCAGGGCTCAATCCAGTGATCTTGAGATCATGACCTGAGCCAAAACCAAGAGTCGGACGCTTAACTGACTGAGCCACCTGGGCACCCTAATAATATTTTTTTGAGATCTAATTCACACACCATAGAATTCACTCATATAAAGTATACAGTTCAATGCTGTTTAGTATGCTCAGTGCTGTGTAACAATCACTAGAGCATTCTTATCACCCCCAAAAGAAAACCTGTCCCTATGAGCAATCTCTCCTCCTCTGTGCCTCACCCCCCAATTCTAGAAAACCACAAATCTGCTTTCTATCTCCGTGGATTTATCTGTTCTGGACAGTTCATATAAATTGAATCACACAAGGTATGGGGTTTCTGTGACTGCCTTCTTTCACGTAGTATAATGTTTTCAAGGTTTGTTAAGTTGTTACACGAGTCGACACTTCATTTTTTTTTTTAAAGATTTTATTTAGTTATTTGACAGACAGAGATCACAAGTGGGCAGAGAGGCAGGCAGAGAGAGAGAGGAAGGGAAGCAGGCTCTCTGCTGAGCAGAGAGCCCGACGCGGGGCTCGATCCCAGGACCCTGAGACCATGACCCGAGCCGAAGGCAGAGGCTCAACCCACTGAGCCACCCAGGCGCCCCGACACTTCATTCTTTTTGTGGCCAAATAATATTCCCTTTTATGAATACTGCACATTTTGTCTCTCTGTTCATCAGGTGATGGACATCTGGGTTGTCTCCTCTCTCGGGCTATTGTGAATAATGCTGCTATGAACATCATGTGGACATGTGTTTTCATTTCTCTTACGTATATTCCTAGGAGTGAAACTGCTGTGTCACATGATCACTGTGGGTTTAACATTTGAGGAACTGCCAAGCTGCTTTTCAAAGTGGCTGCACCATTTTGCATCGCACCAGAAATATGTGAGAGTTTCCATCTTCCCACATCCTTCCTGACATGTTACCGTCTGCTGTTTTTATTTTAGCCATCCTAGATACGACGGAGTGGTATCTTGTGGTTTTGATTTGCATTTCCCTAATAACTAATGATGCTGAACATCCTTCCATGTGCTTATTGGCCATGAGTATGTCTTCTTTGTGGAGATATACCTACTCCAATCTTTTGGCACTTAAAAAAATAAAATAGGCTCCATGTCCAGCATGGAGGCCAATGGGGCTTAAAGTCACAACCCTGAGATCAAGACCTGAGCTGAGATCAAGGGTCGGATGCTTAACCAATTGAGGCACTCAGGCAACCCTCTTTTGTCACTTTTAAACTGGGGTATCTCTCTCTTCATTGTTGAGTTGTTAAGGGGTCTTTATATATTATAGATGTAAATCCCTGATCAAATGTACGATTTGCAATATTTTCTCCCATTTTGTGTGTAGTCTTTATTGTCTTGATGGCGCCCTTTGAAGTACAAAAGTTTTAAAATTTTGATGAAGTCCAATTTATGCAACTTTTAAGTTTCTTCTATTTTCGGTGTCATATCCCAGAAACCATTACCTAATCTATGGTCCCAAAGATCTCCTACGTTTGCTTCTACGAGTTTTATGGTTTTAGCACTTACATTTAGGTCCATGACGCATTTTGAGTTCACCTTCGCTTACAGTGTGAGGTCAGGGTCCTACTTGACTCTTGCATATGTATATCCAGTTGTCCCAGCAGAAAAGTCACTTTCTAGGGTTGATAAATCTTCCAGGCAGGAAAAAAAATGTATCACCTTTTCCTCTATCATTTCCTAGATGTTTCCTTAAACAGCAAGAAGAAACGGTAGGCAGCTCTTGGCTGATCCCAGCAAAGCCTTGGTTCAGAAACAAGGAAACCAAGATGGAAGGCCCAGTCGGTAGTGTATGGCTCCTTGGTGATGGCTTCTTCTCTTCCTCCATCTTCATCACTGGGTCCTGGCAAAGTTCCAGGTAAGTCCAGCATATGTGTGCTTAATTTGGACTCACAAGCTCTGGCGGGATTTTCTAGTATTTTCTTTCTTTGAGTACATCCACTGTGTTCCAGGAAGGCTGTGGGTGACTAGTCTTCCTAGAGATCCTAGCCTATCCCAGGTGGAAGGAGAGCTGGTGGTGGCTTTGGGGCTAGTGAAAAGCATGAGTTCCCTGATTTTTGTCTTCAGTCTGCCATTGGGTTGAGCAGGCTCAGAGACCTTAGCCTAGTTCGGGGTTTGTTAAATTAACGTGGGAATGAACATGGGAGAAACAGTGATATGTTCCTCATCTGCAGATCTTCTCTGGTAAGGGCAGGAGCTGAGCTTTCTTACTCCGACGACAGTGTAACACCAGCTGACATGTACTGACAACTGATGCTCTCCAGGCACTGTGCTTAGCCCTTTATGTTCTGGTTCCCACACAATCCTCGGATGCCCTGAGGGAGATCCCGGTACCATTCCCATTGGATGGATGATAAAACTGAGTCTCAGAACAGTTTAGTGACTTGCCCAAGATCACACAGATGGCTCCTGAGACTCCAAGTCCAACTTCTTAACCACTACTTTTATTGCCTGAATCTTACTCACTTCTCCACCTTTGGGGCTTAGTACAGTGCCTGGGACAAAGCAGATCAGTCATTTAACTTCTCTGTGCCTCTGTTTCCTCCTCTGTAGAATGAGGACAGTAACGGAATGTACTTCACAGGGCTACCGTGAGTATTAAATAAATCAGTGTTCCTAAAGTCTCAGTCCTAATCTGAGTGAGCTGAGGTTATGTGGGCAGTTCAGGCAAAGGATGCTACTTACAAGCCCTCAATGAAGGCTGTTCTTGCTCTCTCTGAGCACAGCCTTCTTTCTGCTTTGGCGAAAGAGGAAAGGGTCAGCCTCCGTGGCACCCAGAGTGGTCCAGTCCACCCCACTGGCCAGTGGCATCATAAATGACATTAGCAGGTCGTTGCCACACCCCAAATAGCCATCGCACAACAAACAGTCTCATCGGGCATAGGCAGAACACGGCTGCCTCGGGAGAGAGCAGGTCTATGAGTTACCTGGTTTCAGTTCGAATACCAGCCATCTCCTGGAGTTGATGTGACAGCTAAAGGGGATACTACATACCAAGGGCACAGGCCAGCACCCGGCACAAGGATGCGTGGTCACAAACAGGAAGGCCACACGGCAGGGATTTTCGTCAGTTTGGTCCATCACCCTACCCTTGTCTGAAATAGCATTGGGTTGTCTTCTGTGGCTGCTGGAACAAATCACCACAGACATGGCGGTGTAAGCAACCCAGGTTTATTCTTCCAGTTCTGGAGGTCAGAAGTCCAAAATGAGTCTCACAGGACTAAAATGAAGATGCAGAAGGGCAGCCTCCCTCTGGGGGCTGCAGGGAAGGGTCTGTTTCCTTGCCTCTTCCTGCTTCCTTATCCCCGGGCTCTGGGTCTCACCCAACCTATCCCATGATGCCCCTGCTTCAGCATCCCAACACTTTCCTCCTCTGCAGTCAAGATCGCCCACCTCCCTCTTATTAG